AGACAGAATGCGAGTGGGAGAGGGGCAGAGAGAGAGGGAGACACAGAATCTGAAGCAGGCTCCAGGCTCTGAGCTGTCAGCACAGAGCCTGACGCGGGGCTCGAACTCATGAACTGTGAGATCATGACCTGAGCCGAAGTCGGCCACCCAGGCGCCCCGTGATCAATCTTAATTTAATTATTTATAAGCGTGAGGCCAGGGTTCCTTTTTTTTTTTTTCTTTTTCTCCCCATTTGGATATTTTTCCAGCACCACTTGTTTTTTTTTTGTTTTTTTGTTTTTTTAATTTTTTTAATTTATTTCTAGGAGAGAGAGAGAGACAGCGTGAGCAGGGGACGGTCAGAGAGAGAGGGAGATACAGACTCTGAAACTGGCTCCAGGCTCTGAGCTGGCAGTCAGCACAGAGCCCGACGCGGGGCTCGAACCCAAGAACCGTGAGATCATGGCCTAAGCGAAAGTCAGACGCTTAACCAACTAAGCCACCCAGGCACCCCCCAGCACCACTTGTTGAAAAGACCTTCTTTTCCCAATAATTGCTTTAGTGCCTTTGTTGAAAATTGGTTGACCATCTAAGTGAGGGAGCATTTCTGGATCTTCTGTTCTGCTCCACTGATTTGGTCTTACTGTATAATGAGTGTGAAGTCCTTGGACTTTTTCTTCTTTTTCAACCTATTTTGGGTATTCTAGGTTTCTTGCATTTCCATAGGCATTCTAAAATGAAAGCTTGTTAGTTTCTTTAAAAAGCCTCCAGGGGTTGTGATTGGTAGTGTATTGAATCTAAAGATCAATGCTGAGCCGTACTTAGTCTTCCAGTCAATAAACTGAGTATATCTTTCTATTTATTTAGGTCTTCTTTAATTTCTATTAAGTAATATTCTGTTTCCAGCATTGTAGTCATGTATATCTCTTCTTTATCTGTTCCTAAGTACTGATTGTTCTTTGATGTTATTGCAGATGGACTTGTTTTAAAATTCTGTTTTAATGGTGTGATGTGAGCATATCAGAATGTCACTAATGCTTATGTAATGGCCTTGTACCTTCCGGCCTTTCTAAATTCACTTTTATATCCTGGTAGTTACATTGTAGATAGGATTTGCTATATAGATAACCAGCTTGTCTATGAATCAGTTTTAATTCTTCCTTTCTTTCCCTTTTGAAGGACTTATTTCCTTTTCTTGCCTTATTGCACTGGCTAAGACCTCTAATATATTAGTGAATAGGAATGAGATTAAACACTTTAGCCTTTTCTAATCTGACGTGCTTTGTGCATCTCACAGCCCAGAGGGGTCTTGTTGGCCTTCTGTATGAAATTCATCTCCTTTTTATCATCTGTCTCAACGCTTTTTAAAATTCCTTTATCTCATTTACCATAAATTACACTTATCTTATTTGTGCACTTCTTTGTTGTCCGTCCCTTACGCCAACCCTTATGCCCCTTATGGGAAAAGTTCTGTCTTCACCATTGCACCCCCGGTGTATAGCACAGTGGCTCTTAGTAGATACTCGGAAATGCTTTGTCAACTCAGCCAATATTGGCAAAACTTTTACAATCACACAGTTTATCCTTCCCAGTGTTAGAATCTCTGTGGCAAAACCTAGGACAATTATTATTTCTTGGAAGACATTTTTCATATTTTCCTTTACCCTTGGAAAAATTTTTAGGAGGTAACATCTCATAATTTCTAATAGAAGTTTATATTTGATGGTTTAACAAGTTCTTAACTGATATTTTATAAAGAAACAAGATAAAAGTTATCTTTGTATATTGTAAACAGTTCTCATTGGTAGTTTATAAAAAGCAATACAATTCTTTCTCCTCTTTTTTGCAAAATACTGTGACAAATTGGGATGGTTTACTTTTTCTGGATGTTATATATACCCCAAAGTTAACCAGCATTCAGGCAGTTTGCAGTGGTCCAAATATAAAAATAGGTGCAAACACATTCCACAGTTGTCTAGTAAAAGCAGGCGTCAAGTCACTATTTTTTATTCTTTAAAATCTGGAGAAATCACACCGATGAAGTGAACCTGTTGGGCAAATTATTTCCTTGTTTTCACCCTTTGGCTTTTGTCTCATCTGCAAAATGCTTCGTGTGTGTGTGTGTGTGTGTGTGTGTGTGTGTGTAATTTAAGCCCAGTGAAGGGAAATTACTTTTGGCCTATACAACACAGTGATCTAGAGTTTATCCAAAAGGCAAAATGCCTTTCTTCTTGCTGTTCCATTTTAACAGCTGCTGTGACAGAAAGTAGGGCTTGAGTTTGTGTGCAGACATGAGGAAGATAATGGGGCTTTTCCCTGTGGTGTGTTACAGCCAGTCTTTGGCTCATCCCACACCCTGACAACGGAAATTGCATCACAGAAGCAGGTAGATGCGTTTGCAGTTGGGTGTGCATTCATTCATCTCCCTCCCTCCTCCTCTTCCCTCCTCCCTTTTCCTTGCCTCCCCCTCCTCTCTCGTCCCCTCCCCAGTCCTCCCTCCACCCTTGGTTCTTCCTCCGTCACTCCCTCTGTGTCACGGCGGTTTTGTTCCTGCGTAGGTACTACAGAACGGGACCTATGTGGCTTCTCCATAAGCAGCGTCCATTGTTGGTGGGGGAGGTAGATAATAAAGAAGATACAAACATATGCATGTGATCATTTGTGCTAGTCACAAGTGCCATAACCAGTGTGCGGTACACGTTTGTGCGTATGCGCATGTGTGTCCGCACATACACGAGAGAGAGAATGAATAAGAACCCTCCAAGGCCTAAGGAGGGGTGCTTGAACTGAGCTCTGCAGATCCCCAGGGTCAAGGGGGATAGCAAGCTGGTAACCCTGAGAGCACGCCAAATTTAACGTTAGAGAGGAAATGGAATGCAGGCCTATGGCCTCAGTGCAGCGAGCTTGGGCGGGAACAGTCGAAGAAGAGGCTGGAGGAGAAAGGAGAGCTTCGATTCTAGAGGGCGTAATGGGCCATGATGCAGTTTCCCCTTGATTCCCGGTTCAGCCCAAAGCCAGTGGTTGGTGTATGGCATGTCCGTTCATTCTGTTGTCTAGACGCCGCAAAAACGTCTCTCATATGATCAAAGTAGCCTCCATTCACATTCTCATTTGAGTTTTTTCTCCCCAAAATAGAAAAAGAAATACAAGAACCAAAACCTGACACAGCTGAAAAGAGATGAGCACATCCACAGTTATAAATGGGGCCATCAACGGCCCTCTGTTGAGAATGGATAGAATAAGGAGATGTTCAGTAAGGAATTGGAGGAGGGACTTCAGCCATTGTCCACCAACTTGGCTTCCTTGCCTTTTTATTTTGCGTAATGAAACACTCTACCCTATACACTTCCCCCCTCCCCTGAGTGCCCATGAATCATTCACCTACAGGGACCAAATTTGGGGCCAAAGCCAAGTTTCAATTAATTTGAAAGCATTGAAATCCTCCTGAACACGTTCTCTGGCCACAGCAGAATTAAACAGAAATCAGTATCAGAAAATACCTGAAACCCCCAAAATACCTGGAACTCACACCACACATTTCTGAAGGACTCATGAGTCAAAGAAGAGATGCCAAGGGGAATTTGAAATTAACGGACTTTGAAACACACGAGCATGAAAAGGTAACCATTGCTCATATTTAAAATATAAATATTAACGTGCAGGGAGGTAGAGATTTGCCTCGTCAACTCTTCCTGTTTGTCCGCGTCCTGAGTTTCCTCCTTGCCTCATGTGTCCCTGTGTCCTCAGTGCCTGGAAACGAGGTGGGCGTGCCCAAGTGCCTGCTGCCAGTCTTCCTCTGACCCTTGCTGGCCTCACCTACTTAACCAAGTGGTCCTGATACTTTCTTCTAGTTCTAGTCACCAAGCGTCTACCATTTTCAGAGGTCATCTTCCTGGAACCATGGAGGGGAATTCTTGGAGCAGTGACACACAGGGTCAAGTACCTGATTCCTTTAGCTAACCTCAGATGAGACCTGTCAAATCTGCTTCTTCGGCGTCTCCCTGTCCTATCTGGGGAATTCTGGTCTACCTTCTCCCTATGTCTTAGACTTTTTGTGAAGTCTTTCCTTCCGTTCCCTTCCGTGACTTCCGTTTCCTCCGGCTATCCTTTCTTTCGTCTGACTTCTTCTGACTTTTTAGTTGTGTTTGGCTTTCTGCCATCTCCACCCTCCGTCTCGTGTCACATTGTCCTAATCAACTTCATTCATTCCTTTAGGCTTGACTGTGTGCCAGGCATTAACCTCAGCAGTGGGTTTGCAAATGCCGGGGCCGGGGCAGGTATGGCTTATAACTTAGATAATCGATTGGAGTCTACTCAGTACTTTGACAGAGTCGTGTTGGAAGGGTTATGTAAATAGGCATTTGTTCAGCAAACACCTATCGGCCTCTTCCCGTGTACCAGGCACTGTGTAGTAGAGGCGGCATTCCAGACTCAAAGTGCTGATTGCTTAAAGGTGAGGTGTGGAGCTGTGAAGGAGCAGATCATGATTTGGGAGTGGGTAGTCTGCTTTGGCACAAGGTATTTGGGGATTTTGAAGTACTTTGAGGTAGTAAGTGGTAAGAGGAAAGGTTGAGAAGGTCTTTAAAGGCCTTTAAGATAGGAGTTTAGTCCTGTTTCTGTGGGTGTAGAATTTACCATCTTTATGATGACTCTTCCCAACACTTACACCATACCCATGTCTCTTACTGCTTGGGTTATTCTTCTGTTTGCTGTAGAGCCCAGTAGCTCTGAGGACCTGTGACCACTGGCTCTGTTTATCAGGCAGTTTTTAAAAGTGGGAGGGGGTTGCCAATAGAGAATGAACCCCAAATCAAGGAGCCAGGCCTGTGGTGCTCTTACCTTAGCCCTTACCCGGAGTATTTCCTTCTAGGGGATAAGTAGCCCTTTGAAGTCTTTATTATTATTTTTTTAAGTTAGGGGAGAAAGAGGTTGAGGTATAAACATATTACTTTGAAAATACCCTATGGGGTAAAAAATTCAACTTAATGTCCACCCTGAAATTTTTTATTCTTTTCCTTTAGGTTTCTTGCTATTTAAAGATTTTTGTTTGAATGAAATTAATGAAGCTGTACCTCAGGTGAAGTTTTATGAAGAGGTAAGAAGTCACTGTTTTACTGGTGCTTTTATTTTAAAAGCATATTTAGACTGTACTTTGGAGAATATTGAGACTACTAAGTATCTTACAAATATGTGGAAGCTCATTGACCATAATTAGTAGTACAAGGTATAATATGCAGTTGATTATAGATACTGACCCCATCTATGAGCATCCTATTTTTAAGAGGGCCAGAGTGCTCTGGAAGCATGAGGAACAGTTGAACTAAAATTCCAGAGGAGGGATTATCATCGAGAGGGGCACTGAGGATCAGCAGCTATTTGATTTTCTGCAGAAATGTACTGATTCTGGAGACCTAAGCTGAGGCAGAGGGCCGCTATGGAGTGAAAGAGAAAGTAGCAACGTTTTCCAGTCACACGTGGCTGGAGTGACAAATTGGAGACATGGTGGGAAAGGGCAGCCTTGGACACACAGCTGCCTTTCCCAATAAGACATTGGGAAGGGAGCTGAAGAGATAGGCCAGGAGCTTCTGGAAGCCTTGCTGAAATCTCCCACAGCCTTACAGCACTGTGTTGAAATATAGACCTGCGGTAGCAGGAATTTGAAAACAGAACAGGCAAGAGACAAAGGCCCTGGGCAGCGGTCGACTGACACTGAAGATCTGTAGCTACTTATCACCTGGGGCAGCTGCTCATTTCCAGACTCCTGTCTGACAACCCAGGTTTGGCCCTAGGCAGACGGCTGCTTCTGGGAGACAGAAAAGCCAGAAGAGGTTTCTGGGCTAGAATAACAAACAAATGAGATTGGAGGAGTCCCAGACATGTGATTAGTCTCCCTCTCAAGATTTATGTCAAGGTTTGAGGCTGAATGGGACAGGAGGCCAAAGATCTATCAGAAAACGTCTTATGGGCAGGACTGAATCTAGTGGTGACAGACTTCTCACTGAATTCCATGGAGAGCCATGCCTTAGGAATGGGGGCAAATCAGAGGTGACTGATTCCTACCAAAATGGAGACCCAGCCCAGCCTCATTCCACGTTGGGTGATGAGACCTCTCCCCACCTGTGTAGCAGAGCACAAGGGGAGCCCTCTCTGTCCTGTGTTTGCAGGTGGAAGATAACATAGAGAGACCCTACAGTGTTCAGCATACAATAAAAAATTATGGAACATCTAAGATACAAGATCATATGACTCATAAAGTAATAGAAGCCAACTGACAGAAGACTCAGATATTGAAGTTAGCTGACAAGTACTTAAAAGTAACTGTAAATAATATGTTTAAGACAATAGAGGAAAAGAAGAGAAAACAGATGGAGGAATAGTGAATATCAGCCCAATTTATTATGAAGAACCAAATGGATATTCTAGAATACCTAATTTCTAATATTCTAGAATATTCTGTTCTATTATTCTATTATATATAATATTATATTATATATTAATTAATTAATTAATTATTATTAATAGAGGCAGAGATATAATATATTCTATGTATAATAGAATAATAGAATAGAATATTCTAGAATATTAGAAATTAGAACCTAACGACTAGAATCAATATCAGGTTGGTTACAATAAAGCCAGGATTAATACATAGGGAAGCAGATCTGTAGATAATCTCACACTAAAACACAGAGAAGAAAGAATATAGAAAAGAAAAAGATAAGGACATTGAAGACATGTGGGATATGGTTAAAAGGTCTAAGACATTTACAAAATGATGAAAGACAGCTGTTTACAGATTCAAAGAATTTAAAACTCTGAGCAGAAGGGCTACAGAGGAAACCTATCTTTGCATATCAATGTAACACCATGGAAACCTGTGACAAAGAGAAACTCTTAGAAGCAACCAGAGGGTGGAAAAGGACACATTATTTTTAAAAGAGCAATAAATAATATGACTGACTATGACATCTTAAAACAATGATTAAAACAAATAACACAACAAAAAAACAGGCAGTGGCGTGGCCATCTAAGTAATGAAAGGAAAAAAAAAAAAAAAGAAAACCTAGAATTCTATTCCCAGCAAAAATTTCCTTCAAAATGAGGGTGAAATAAAGATATTTTCGGAGAAAAACTAAGGGAATTTTGTCAGTTGTGGACGTGCATTACAACAAATACTAAAAAGAGATACTTCGGGCAGAAGGAAAATAATCCCAGATGAAAATGCAGGAAGGAAAGAGGTCATCATGAATATGTATGCAAAATATAAATGGATGTTGACCATGCAAAATAATAATACTTTTACATTTTAAAATATATAAAACTAAAATAGATGATAGCACAAAAAGCAAGAGAGGGGTTAAAGAAGTTAAGGTGTTTTAAGATCTTAGGATTATTGGGAGGTCGGGTGGATAGTAAAAGTAATAATTTACATTGACTTGTAATGAGTTAAGAATGCATATTGTAATCTCTAAGGCAGCTCTTACAAGAATAAAAAGTGTATATCTAACAAGTTAAAAGAGAGAAAATGGAATAAGACAATAGTGGATTAATAAAAAAGGGAAACAAGGAATGAAAGAAGGACATAAAATAGATGGGTAAAATTGAAAACACAGAATAAGATGGTACGGGCACCTGGGTGGCTCAGTCGGTTAGGTATCCGACTTCGGGTCGAGTCATGATCTCACATTTGGTGGGTTTGAGCCCCATGTCAGGCTCTGTGCTGACAGCTCAGAGCCTGGAGCCTGCTTCAGATTCTGTGTGTCCCTCTCTCTCTCTGCCCCTCTCCTGCTCGTGCTCTGTCTCTACCTTTAAAAAAAAAAAAAAAAGAATAAGATGGTAGCCATAAATCCATCTATGGAAGTAATTATATTTAATGTAAATGGACTAAATACTCCCAAGTAAAAGTCTAAGTTTCTCCCTGAATAAATAACCAGAGCTTTATTATACACTGCTTACAAGTGACATGCTAGGAACAAATGCATGGAAGAGGATGCACAGATACAAATACCAACCAAAGCAGAGCTGGTACAGCAGCACTAATATCAGACCAGGTCTATGGTAAATGCTACTTAGAGGCAGAGATTATTTCATAATGGTAAAGGGTTCAGGATCAATATCTTCAACTTCTTAGTAACAAATAATGTAACTTCAAAATATATAGAGTCAAAATTCACAGATCTAAAAGAAGACAAGTCTATATTCTTAGCGGGAGACATTAGCATGCACTCTTCAAGAGTTCATAGAACAGACAGACAAAAAATTAGTAAGGATACAGAAGATCTTAATAAAGTGATGAATAAGCTTGACCTAAGCGACACATATAGAATGCTGCACCCAGCAAAAATAGAATTTGCCTTCTTTAAAGTACACATGGAATGTTTATCAAAAGAAATTATCTGCTGGGGCCTAAAGAAAACTCTTGCAGATTTCCAGATCAAAATTGTTCTGAGCGTTTTCTGACCGCAATGGAATTAAACTCAAATTGAATAACAGAGTTTACTAAGAAATCCTTGACTTCTTGGAAATGAATACATTTGTAAGTAATTTATGAGCCAAAGAAGAAATTAGAACAGTAATTAGGAAATATTTTAAATTAAAATATATTTTAAATAGGACATATGTTTCCTATCCTAAAGCATTTCAAATGTTCCAAAGAAGGCAGAGCATAATTAGGACTCATATTTGTAATCTTTGTCCAAGTTTGAAAATTGGAGAGATATTCTTTTTTTCCTGGATTATATATAAAACTTGAAATTTTTAAATATGTATACCGGATAGCTTGATGTTTTTCTATACTTTTAAAATTATATTAATGTATTTCCAGGGAGAATGGTCAAATTACGATGTACATTTAGTATCATATAAAAAAATAAACAAAATCAAAAGGATTTTACTCACTGTGCAGTAACTTTCATTCTTTCAATCTGAATTGTAATCTGGATGAGTATCAGTCACCTTTTGATCTGTTGAAAGAAATATCTTTCTCTATTCTTAAAAGCGTTACCTCTCTAGTTTCAGCAAGTACTAAATCATCTTGGCAAATACAGAGACATCTTTAACAGATAACTTTGGCAAGGTGGAAACGTGGGTGGTCTACTTGGGTTACTTCTTAAGCACATCTTGCCAATATGGCGGTGAGCACTGCTGATGTGTCCATTTGAACTTTTAAACATTGGAATGCCTCTTGGTTGGCGTGCTCCCAGCTCTTCACTCCTGTCGTCTGGTTTGGTGCATAATGGACCTGACTTATCCGACTATCCCTTCGGAGGATTACACCCCAAAGCTCCTCAGCAGCTCGCTCTATATCTTTTTTTTGAAGATACCATCCAGTCTTGGGGCTTCAAACACAGGTTTCTAAATTAGTACAGCCTTTAAGCATTAAGGTTATCAATAATTCTTCTCTGTGCTCTTGGTTTTAGCAGTCTGATTATTTCTGGTGGCTGTTGCATGACCTCAATCCCTAGAAAAGTGGATATTTTGTATGTTGTATTTCCATTTTCCTGGGTCCCCAGACTTTAGTGGTTATCCATTTCCAGCATGTTTACGGCTTAATTGCTTATCCTGACGTCCACGTATCTCTGTGTTAGTTATTACCTACCTTCCTCTCTGTCTTTATCTTTCACTACCTTCTTACATAGAACTTCTGCTAACCACTAACCACTGAGCCCATTTTTTGGGAAGATTTTATTTTTTGAGTAATCTCTACACCCAATATGGGGCTCACGTCCACAACCCCATGATCAAGAGTTGCACACTTAAATGACTTAGCAAGCCAGGTGCCGCTAAGCCCGTTCTTTTTTTTTTTTTTTTTTTTTTTCTTATGTCCTTCCTCCAGCCTAGACTGCTACTTTGCCTTCCTGGCCTGTGGAGAGGCTAGCTTCTTTTAAGATCTAGCTCACTTTATACATTCACCAACAAGTCTCTCTGGACAGCTAGCCCGGTCTTCCATGACTGTTTACACCTTCGATTCCCATAACATTTGTTGCCTGTAATGCTCTGTAGTACCGAATCTTTGCTGCTTTTTTTGTGTGTTATTAGTATTGATCTTCATCTGTAGAAGACAGATGTCTACATCTTTGTAGACAGAAGGCCTAG